CCCCACCCGCGCCGATTTTTCAAGATCCCACCACCCCACCCGCGCCGATTTTTCAAGATCCAACCCCTCACCCACGCCGATTTGTTTCCAACATCAACACCTCCACCCAATCCAATTTTGGAAGCTCCACCCACATTACCTTCCAGCAATTTATTTGATGATTGTGGAATGACTCTGTTAAAAGCACAAACGATATTCAACCACACTTTTTTGAGAAACAGTGAGGTGACTCAGGCATGATGCAGCATTTTGCTGTTTGGCAGCTGACAGTAGGTCTGTTGCCTCACCATGGAGATGATGGAGAGCCCACTGCTGCGAGCCGGGGTTGCAGCTGTTCAAAGGGCTTCGAGCATCAAGCCTGGTTCAACCGAGACCCCAAAGAAGGAAGAAGAAGAAACCAAGCTTGCAACCAAGAAGGAAGAGGCAAACTGGACAAAAGGTGTTGGTTTGTTAAATAAATTGTAGTAGCTTGTCATCTTGATAATGTGAAAGTTTTGTGTTGACAATTCGGGAGAGTTGGTAAAGGCGTTTCAATATGGTCTTATGCTCTGTCATGTGGAGGTCAAAGGAGAGCTCGATTCAGCTCACAAAAAGCGCAAGACAGAGTGGTCTGCAGGCTTGACAAAGCTTCCAGGGGACCCATCCCTAGCAAAGGACAGGTGCAACAAAACCGTTTAGACTATATAGATGGGAAAAGAGTTGGGTAACTTGGATAGGACTATTTGTGACAACATCAACACTAGGACATCTTGGACTACCTGAGCCTCTTCTTGGAGTCAAATGATGGTGGCTTTAACCATACACAATGCCATCCTGTCGACCTTGTCCTTGAGTCGTTCAAGGATGAGGAAACCTCGAACATCACACGCAGTAAGTTGCGGGTCTTCCTTGAGGACTCTTTGAAGATGCAGGGGCGCAATTTTGTATCAGCCACGGTTCCAGATACTGTCCTGAAAGTTTAGTATCCATTTCAATTTTCTATTATGTATTGCAAATGGTTCTTTGGGATCAGTTGAAGAACAATTAGCTACAGCACAAGGATGTGAGTGGATTGGCTCAGCCCGATGACCACATGGTCACAACAGTGCCGTTGGATTGCATCAAGCTTGTGAAGCCCGACGACGGGCTTCCCAGCACGCAGGACTTTTTGACCACCACCATCTCATTTTTATTCAATGGATCCAGGCTCCATAGAGAGCCCATTGATTTGAATGTCATCAAAGGGGAGGTCAATCGGCCCTTTGCAGTGAAAAAAGGCTTCACAAGACTGCTGCTAAGTGGAATATTGTGTTGTATTTTTCATTTTGTGTTCTTTGGAGATCTTGTTGTGATAGAAATACTTTGTATCAGTGATGGATAGCCTTGTGACCCAGGACTGCTGGGCTGCTGCTGCTTCTGATTGCATCGGACATGGATGCGATAGCTGGGAAGGACCTTGAAGGTTGTCTTGTATATATGCATGTTCAAGCTAGACATCAGCAATTCAACTTCACAAACACAAGAGCACCCGTGCGCAAGGATCTTATCCAGCCACTACTTCCAGCCTTTAGTGGGATTTTCTGCCTTCCAGTCACCATCACTGCGAACTCAGATCCTGAAACGGTGTCCTTTGAAAATATACAACTCTCAGCACAAGGCGCTGAACGACAGAGGAAGGACGTCAAGGACCTAGCTGACAGGACATGGTTGCTATGAGCGTCAAATTGTGCCACTAACTTGGTCACAGAAGCTGAAGTATTGAACCAAGGTGATGAAATGCTCATTACGTTTCGAGAAGCTTCTCGCCCAAAGGAAGGCTCAGGGTTCATTCGAAAACATGAACGACCAGGACATTTTGCAGGAGCTTGTGACGAAATACAACTCGTTCAAAGCCACAGCTGCCTTGCGTCGATGGCAGATTACTCCCGACCAAGCCAACGCAATGGTTGGTGTGATCATAGGCATGACAATGGAAAGCAGAAGCCTTATTAGGCAGCACCTGGATGTCAACAAGTGGGATGAAAGCGGTTTCTTCAAATAACTTATGGCTTTATTTTGTGCGTTGTTTTCCATAGTGTGCCCCACTGCTTCAAGATAACCACGAACTCTGCATTCAGTACTACTGAGGTTACAATGAGAACCTTCTACGCCAGAAGCGCCATCAATTGAACGAGTGCAGCAAGGGTGCTATTGGAGTCTGGCAACACATCTTGACAGCAACATGGGTGTGAAATTTAGCAGCTAAAGTCATCTGTTTATCTTTCTTCAGCAGAATTGTTTCTTCAGATCTATTTACTTCGCTTCGTGCTCCACAGTCCAAAGGTGACACCAGAGAGCCAAGCCCTCCACATTCGCAAGTACAACTCATGGTGGGCAATGAACTGAAAAAAATGAAGAAGACCATGAGAAGCAGGCTGCGTTGGTCGGATGAACAATGGTCCAGGAATGTTGACCATGCTTGCGTCTGTCAATGGGTCCTCAACCATTGTGCCAACAATCCTCAGGTGCCTCCTCTTTGAATTAGTGACTCCTACTTTTTGAATTGTTAACTATTCATTTGGCTTGAACGAAACAGTGAAAGTACAAGGTCACACAAGATATGATTGACAGCATGCTGAGCAGCTTCATCAACGGGTGTCTTTGTCCTGCATAATGTTTTCCTGGTGTGGTTTGGACAAATGGATTTCCAAGTAAACAACCAACAAGACTCACAGCCAGCCAGGGACTACACCCAAGAGATTGACGCAGTTTTGCTGAGCAAGCCAAAGCAAATTTCGCCAGAAGGCATGGGAATGTATCGGACCATGTGTCTCGCACACTCATGAAGAAGGAGCATGGTGGCAGCATGGTAGTTGACAACACCGATGTGGAGGATGCTCAGGACACACAGTTTGAAAAACTAAACTTTATGACTTGGTCCTCATGGCATGGTCTCTCGTCTTTCGCACATGGCCTAAAGCCAGCGAGGAAGCCTTACAGCAAGCTGAGTACACGTTGGTGTGCGCGAATTTAGCCAGTGACTACAAGGAAGCTGTGCAGTTCAATTTGAGGGCAAACAAGGTGCGTGTTGACACACATAAATACACACAAAACAAAGAAGCAAACAAATCAAAAACAATGCTAAACAATTTTACAAACCCCAACCCTTGCAGGTGAAAGGAAGCAAGCATGTGATGGAAGCAATCTGGCTTGAGTCAACTCATTATTTACTTTTTTTGTTTGTGCATGTGGAAATGTTGGAGGGGATCTTAAACTAATTTCTATACTAAACAGTTTATTACTCCAGTACCTTCAATGCAAGGTGATTCACATGCGGGATCAGATTGAGACCGGCTTAAACTTGAGTGAAAGGTTGATGGAGAGACGCCTGCTTATTTCCTGTGGTGACAAGTCAGCCAGCCTTCCAGCATTTATGAAGAAGGTCTTCACTGATTGCAATGCGCGCTTTGAGCAAGCCGACTTTTCCTGCATGCACCATGTGGGGTTCCTTGATTGGACGAAGTTCGGCAGACTTACCATGGCTGTCATCGACGAACAAGCACGCTGGGCAGCGAAAGTGCTCGACTTGAATGACAACTATAGCAACTTCAGCTGAAATAGATGGTCCTTCAGCTAAAGTTGCTGAACAGTTTTATTTCCCAAACTGCGCTTCAGAGTTTCCAGCCAGGCACTGTCATCATGATCTGCCCCATCTTGGCGGGGGAAGGAGTTCTCCATGGCACAAGGGGGGAGCACAGAAGGATTGAGGACAAGCTTTTGAGTATGGGCCTAGAGCTCAAGAACATTCAAGTTTGCTTTGACGTGGCGTCGCTCCATGGCAATCGGACACTTTGATTCGCCTCTAGCAAGCTTTTATTTATACTTGTTTTTGTCAATTTTGGAAACCAAATGGACTGCAAACATTCAGCCTCTCAGGCAGTTCCCATGCGCTTTGCCTGGGTGGATGGTGGTGAAGGATTCCACGTTGGGTGCCCGACAGGGCACCCTGTACAAGGTACCACGCAACAGTGATCGAGATGTCAAGGACCAGAACCTCTTTGCCAAGAGTGACTATTGGAATCTGCTGGCGTGCAGGGCAACCGCGCCACTGCCCATAAGCCACTGGTTTGCATCACGTGCTTTGTCTGACCTGAAGGTTTGTTCCTTGTCAGCTCCTTGTGTGTGTGTCAGGTGAATACCAAACGCCAGAGTCAGGAACATTTTTGTCTCACGAACAAGGCAGATCGCTGACCGACCCTAAGTTGAAGTTAGATAGTGCCTTTTTTGCGCCCTTGCATTGTGGCTTTTGTGACTTGCTTGCACTATCAAGGACAAGGAGGAAACGGCTCAGTGGGTAGCCTCTGGGGCCTGTATTCGCTCCATCCTTGAATCAACAATGTCGCGAGTTAGTTCTCTGAAGGGCCAGTCATTGGTTCTGCACCACGCCACGCCGTACGAGGGCACCTTCGAGAAGGCAAGGATCACTGTTCAGTTTCTATCCATTGAAAATTAACATTCATATTGTGGTATTCAGACCCTGAAGGTAGCATATGATTTGATGGTGGAGCATGAAGAGACCACCCACATTGCTTGCTATTCGGAGCTCCAGAATCCGCAGGTCTTCTCATTTGTGGCAACCCAGGTCAAGGATCGTCTTTTGGAGGCATGGTGTTGTAAGAAGTCAAAAAGAACATATTTGTCACATTTGTCCTATGCATTATGGGCCATGGGCTGTTCCTGGCTTCTGCTTCCAATACATGCAGGATTGGAAAAAGACCCAAGGGTTGATGATCATGAAGCCGCAATTCACTGCCAGTGCAGACTTCAGCGGCATCACAGAGCCAAAAAGACCTTCTCTGAAGTTATGCAGCATGACAGAGGGAGGCAACCTTGAGATACCCAGGCCGATCCGAGACAAGTTCCTTTCTGACCCCATACGGAGCCACTTGGACTACTGTTCAGAAATCGATTCTTTGTATTGATTTTCCTCTATATATAGTTTATATATTAACAATCTTGTAGTACTATTCAGAAGTTCTGCAGTTCGCATCTCAGACCCGGATTGGCGTGTTCGCTTGGCAAACTTTGACAATGTCTTCAAGCCATCCTCGCAAGGTGAGGCTCCTGCACCAAAGCCTGGGGCAGAGAATGCAGACCTATCAGTGGAAGGTGCAAATGCAAATGCCACCACCCAAGGGTCTAATTCAGGAGCTGGCAAAGCATCTGAACCGCCACCAAGCATGTCGCAAGAAGATTTCCAGAAAGCTTACCCTGAGCCTACCTTGACCATTTCATTGACTGTGGCCGGAGGGCAGTCAATCACGTGCACCTACGCCAAGGGCAAGGTCTTCCTCTCTAGTCAATCATCGATGGTTGTGGGAGGCATTGATTCCAGTGGATCAAAACCCGTTCTATGCTATGCAGGGGGATCCTGGATCTCTGACAGTTCCAAGGTCAGGTTGTTCAAACTGTGTTTTGGTATGTTTATGTATGTTTTCATAAGGCTATATGCTTTATTCCTTTGTTGAATTTGTCTGTTGAGGCACGTGACTAATTATCTTGGGAAGAGTGGGAACGAAAACAAAGCCATTGAATTCCGAGTGGAGTCATCCGACCAACGAGTTTCTGATATTATTTGCTTCAAATGTGTTTTTGCTTTGGGCGGCTGGCATATTTTAGTTTCGATCTTTAAAATTCCAGATGTTGAAGTTGTCCAATGCTAAGGTTGTCCTGGAGGAGACTGGGAGTCGCGGGGCCGCAGACAGCGATGCGATGACCATCTTCGACCTCATTGTGATGTTGGAGAAGCGCGGCCTTGTGGACTTGACCCTCACTGGTCATAAGTTTGAGCGTCCTCCAGCAGTGAAGCGAGGTGAATCTGAGGATTCAATGGTCTTCAACCATGAGGCGTTCTCTGTCTACAAGCCAAACCCGGTTCAGCAGAAGAACGTGAAATCGTCCAATGTTGCTGGCTTTTTGCAATATCAAACATTGACCAAATCCCGTTTCCTGACCTTGGCTTGGCGAATCTTAGAATATATGATTATATGATCAATGATCAAGCTGTTGTTGTTGTTGTTGCTGTCTAGTTTTGCATATTGTGCATGTGTGTGTGTCTTTGATCTTACACATGCTCAATGCCCAGGAATGCGCCACTTTCCAAAAGAGAAAGTCCTGGGCCCAGCTAAGCCGCTGTGGTTCCTGACCCACACCCTCCGCATGGAACCGAAGCAGTTCTATGAGATTGCATGAGAGCTGAAGGGAGCTCTCCAGCGGTTTTGATTTGGTTCACCGATAGTGCGAGGTGACATGATTCATGAAGATGCTGCTTGATGTTGCTTGCAAAAAAAACATTGAGTAGACACAATCAAGCACAAACAAGAACCTGTTTGTTCAAAGCCATTCACCAGTCAAACAAAGTGACATCTTTGGATGCAAAACGTTCTTGCCCCAGCTTGGTTTTTGCTCAGGGATTTCTTGCTGGTTCCAATTGTGTGTGTTTAGCCTTTTTTGCAATGCTTTCGGAACAACATCCTGTGATCAACGTGGACGCTGACATGTCAGATGTCAATGCAAGCCTCCTGGGCAAGCACATGAACCTGTCCGGTGCCTCATCAACCTTGGCCACAACGGAGCCTACGAAGCAGCCAACAGCCAAGAAGCCGGAAGAAGTTCAAAAGCCTGTTCAGAAGCCAGAGTCATCTCAATCTGAGGGTCCAATGATTGTATTCAAGGCAAGCTCCACGGTGGAGAAGTTCATGCTTCGTGCAGAGCCAGTACCTGCCCTCCAGCTTTTGCATTTACAATGCAAGTGTTTTTTGCTATATTATATGTCTCTTTATATTTCCTCGAAACTTAAGTGGAGCTATAGTTTCCAGACAACGAACCTGTTAAAACAACATGAGGCAGTGCCATTGAGGGAGCTTGCTAGGCCTTTAACCAGGCGGAGATTATTCAACTCTCCTGAATCCAACAATGAGACTCCGAACGGGCTTCCCTATGTGCATTTTGATCGCTGCACCACTGATCCATATGCTGCATATGCTGCTGCTGGTATTGGGGAGTTTGCTGACTCACAGCCACCAGATGAATCACAGGATGGCATTGAGGAGTTTGCTCACTCTGAGGGCGCACATGGCACATTTTCTACCAACGTGCTTCCAGTGCCTGGCTTGTTTGTTCTAAGCTTGCATTCAATTGCATGTTCTTGTGGCCCTCATTCTCAAATCAAGCTTACTATTCAATATTCATGTAATCATAGAAGTCAACCCAGGATGCTCGTGCGAAGTTGTGCCCAACGAACCCTGGTGTGAATGACGCTGGGTCTCTAAAATGATCTAAAGCTTTGTATGGCTGTGCATTTGTATAGTTCTTGGTCAGCCTGATTCAGTGCCTTTTTGAGGAACCCCCCGTTGAGATTGGCAATGATGTCAACTCTTCATTGAAGTCCTCTTCAGTTGGTGATGTTGAAGGAAAGCAGCTGGACGCAAAACCTCCTACCACGCCCTTGGCAGATAAGAAGCGAAAGCGTTCACCTCATGATGCAAAGGTTCCTTCGGAGGACAGCTTCAGGTTTCCTAATTAAACCATGCAGTTGCTCAACAAACTCACTATAGAAGTTTACCCTGATCAGGAGTTGGAACCAAATACTCCTGACACTGAGAAGAAGAATCCAGATGAGAAGAAGGAGGATGAAAACCAGGAGGCGAAAGCAAAAACGATTGGCGCGAAGATCACCCAGAATATGAGTCCAGGCACAAAACAAAAGATTCTCGAAGAGCGTGCAGAACGCAAAAGGTTGAATTCACGTCGGTGGCATTCCGAGTTCTCATCCAAAGGAGTGCCATGAATGGATTATTTGATTTTTGTATGGGTGAATTTTAAAGGCCGTGTTTTCTTCACTGAACACAAAAATTTAGCCACATCAATGGTCCAAGGTGCCCAGAGGTTCCAAAGGTGACATATCTTCGTCTTCATGTGATGGCAACAATGGCATGGACAAGTCCACAAATGCTGAGAAGAAGTCAGAATACAATGGGTCTGCCAAACATGCAGCCAGGTGGGCATTTGTGTCTTGGCGTGAGCGAAATTAACAAAAGAGTCCTCAACTCATTGGACAAGTTTCCAATCACTTTACAACCAACGAGTTTGTAATGGCATTGTTTTGTCAAATTGTTTCCACCTCATCTCATTGCATCAAACCATTCCATTGACATTTTGTCAGGGCCCTTTGCAAAATTGTTTCATTTCATTGACATTGGAAATTAAGGTTCGGGACTATGTTGCAAAGAATGGCAAGGGGTCGCTCCAGGATGCACACCGTGCTTGGATGGAGTCTCACGAGCGTGCAGCCTTTGAAGCTGCTTCTCAGGGGATCCAAAAGTGAATCTCTTGACAAATAGAGTTTGGGATTAGTTTGGGGTGCGTGTGAATACACACGTTGACAGGGAACTCTTGGCTGAGTGAATGTGAAAAACATTCGAGGGACGCAAGTGTCTTGTGCACCTTTCGCGTGTTTGTGTGGAACACTATTGTGTGATCAATGCATACGTTTGCTTTGTTCGATTTGTTGTGTTTTGTGGGATGTGGCCCGGAAGACAACACGGAACAAGACATTTCTATGTGAGAAACTGTGTTGACAGTGTTTGGCTGTGTAGAACCCCAACAAGATTACACTACCTGACACATTGTCAGATTTTTTCAATGTGTCAACTTTCTCAAGCCCAGGATTTAAACAATTCCAAAACATTTTCCACCAGGGTGCCAAACTGTGCATGTTACCAAAACGAAAACCAACATCACTGTTACAGTTTTCCAGAAAATGATAGTGAAACAATTGGCTCAAGGGCATCTGGCCGTGCCACAATGATAGCCAATACCTTTATTTTTCTTCTTGGACACTTAATTCAGTGCCACGGGTGTAGAGCAAATGATAGCCAAATTTGATAGCAAAACCTTTGTGATACTGCTGATACTGCTAGTTCAGTACCAGCTGGATACTGATAGCCAGGCCTACTCCAAGCCATATCTTTGACAGCTGATCATTCTAATTTGACAGCTGGTTAAAATGAATTTAACTTTGCATTGGTGTTTGCTACTAGCAGCTCGCGGTGGCATCACTTGGACGGCGCTCTATGTCATCTACTCCACCCTGTGGGGCCACACTTTGCAGGGCTCTCAATACGCCACAAGACAGCACTTCGTGGCAGCGGTGGAATTGGCGGCGCGGGCCTCAGTGCCCGCCTTCCTTTGCGCAGTCTTCAATTTGTTTTGCGCGTGCTACTCCTCTTCATGGTTTGCTTTCTGACACACTCAGGTCATTCTTTTCGGCGCCTTGCGCCTCCTCGCAGCTTCCACGGACATGAACTTCCTGAATCTGGACTTCTTTCTACGGCCGCACCGCCTGGCAGCGGACCTGCAACCTGTGCTGGAGAGCGTGCGCTCTGCGTGGCAGACCGTGGCGAAACAGCATTGCTGCCCCTTGTGCAAGACCGTGCCAGCAGTGGTTGTGGATGGGAAGTGGAATATGCAGTGCCTCATTTGCAACGACAGGGGCTCTGCATACAAATGGAATCGTGGCTTGCACGCCGGGATTTTGACTGGATGCACGGCGCGCCCTTTGCGGGGTTCCAAATATTGCGCCGCGCACCAGCCGCCAGCAGGCCCTGTGGAGCAGGTCACAATCACTGCTCACCGGCAAATCTGTGAGGGTGAGGCCATCCTCCTGCAGTATGAGGTGGGCAACCGTGTGTGGCAGAGGGCCGCAGCCGTGCCCATGGGTGCTATTCGCACATATGAAATGGACCTTTTGCCACTCAGGGAGCCGCTGCTGAAACAGCCCGATGCGTGCGGCGCAGACCCGCGGCGAGGCACTCCTGAAGCCAGCATCGGGCGCAAGTCGGCTGGCATTCTCGCTGCTGTCTCGCCGTGCATGCGCGTGGTCGCCATTCAGCCCATGTACGCGACAGAGTCGCAGGGACAGGTGGTTTCATTTCTGGATGACATCTTGCAAATGTTGCCTCGCACTGCTTGGGTCATCTACGATTTTGCTTGTGGCATCCGCCGGCACATCCGCACACAGCTTTCTTTGAGGCGGTCCAAACCCGAGGCTTCAAGATGGCAAGCATTGGATGCTTTGACGTGGGCGGTGGGTAAGATGCACTTCAAGACCCACAAAGGCTGCAGGAATCCACAGTCACCTTGGTACGAGCCTTCCGTCAATCCGTACGCGCCCCGGTAGTGATAGCTTCGATGCGTTGGCTCCAAGCGCTACTGCTACAGCATATAGTAGGTGCTGAGTCACTGTCATGTAGGAACCTTACCAAGTGTTGCTGCTGCACCCTAGAGGTCCTACTTCCATGTCCGCATGCAGGTCCTACACCCTCTAAGTCCTTACCTGCCTGAGGCGCATGATGCTTTGCGTGGAGTCGACACAGAAGCTGCAGAGCAGATTTTTCACATTGCGGCGCGCTGGCAAGCCTCTTTGGCCACAGCGCACCCGGTGCATCAAGAGCTGCAACTTCTGATTTATAGCCACGAGCACAATGAGAGGCAGTGCCCCGATGTACCTTGGGAGAGGTACCAAATAGCACAGGCCTCTGGCGCGTCGCTGGACCCAGGTGCCCACGTTGACGCTTGTGCGGCATCCGCCTCCACGGCATGTACCCCACCAGCACGCCCCGCCCAGAAGCGAGCAAAGCCCCGTCAAACATGCCAAGTCCCACCACCAGACCGTGCTCCAGTTGATGTGGGACAAGCAGATCCACCAATCCACCTGCCACCGAGGCGCGTGAGCAGAGACTTCCTAGCCGGTGCCTTGGTGCTTGTCAACCCAGACACCAACACCGTGCATCGTGTGGATGCAGCTGTGCAAGACTCGGTCCGCACAGGGTGTCATTGGATTCCGGCACCTGGGGCCCGCAGACTAGCAGTGCCTGCAGCTCAGCTGTCTGGTTCCAATTTATATAGCTGCGGTACGTGCTTCGGTCGGCGCCACGCTTTGGACCTCTAGTTGCTCGTGGGTGCTTCCCCACTTTTTGGCCGACGCGCAGAAAAAGGTGTGCGCCGCTTCTGCGTCTCAAGTCGTGCTATGTCTTCGACTCCATGTCCAGACGGCACTGTACCTGCCGCCTGCGTCCTGGTCCATTACGTCCACTTAGGTCCAGACCTTCTGCGCTCTCCGTTGCCCTTGCTGCCGAGGCCCCAGTGTTGCAGCTGCTACCTGCACTCTTTGGCCACATACACGTCTGTGTTGCACATGTATCCAGATATACATACATACCATACACACCTGTAATTTCCTCGGTATGTATGTTTCCCCGGACATACATACATACATACCTACATACATACATACATACAGGGTATGTATGTTTCCCCGGACATACA